TCCGCAAACCCGAAGCCTCTGCTCTAGAATCCCAAAACCTCGGCTTGTGCGTTCCGAAGGGCGGGCGCGAATTCGGAGGGCTGGGCGCTGCCTCCTCGGAGGCTTAAGGGATGTTGGGGCTTTAGGGGTTTAGGGCTTAGAGGTTGAACCCTAAACCCTAAACAAACCCATGGGGTTGAGGGGTTCAGGGGTTTAGGGCTTAGAGGTTTAACCCCAAACCCTAAACGAACCCCTAGAGTTTAGGGGTTCAGGGATATAGGGTTTAGGGTTTGAGAGGAACTTGGTCGTTTCCGGGACGTCTGGGTCGCTTGAAAGGTACTTTCCAATCCCCAGCATCCTGGAAGGAATATGTAGGATCTATGAGGTTTAGGGTTTAGGTAGGATCTATACGGCTTCCCTGGCTTCCCTTCATTTAAGGGTTTCTTTCGGGCATTTAGTGAGGGTCGAGGGGTTTAGAGTTCAGGACGAAAGGCTCGAGGGCGTCGGGTTCTAGGGTTTAGAGCTTAGGGTTGACAAAGCCCGTATTATATAGGCCTGAAGTTGGGTAGTTCTCTAAATTAGGGTCCCCTTTTAGGTCCCCAATATAATACGGCACCCTTATAAAAAGGACCCTACAAGGGACCCTAATTTAGAAAACTACCCAATTGGGTGTCTGTTAAGATGGTTGACGGAGATGTCGGGCACCGTTCAAAGGTGTCAAAAAGCGAATGTCACGAGCATTGCGGTCCCCAATACCAAAGAACATGCCAGGGTGAGAGGGCCATGTACCCTAAACCCTAAACCCTAAACCCTAAACCCGAAACCCTAAACCCTAAACCCTAAACTCTCTGGGTACTGTGCAGGGGCTTTAGATTTTGAAAAGTGCTGGGGCTCTCAGGTGTAGGATTTGGGAACTACGGCCTTATAGGGTTTAGGGTTTAGGGTTTAGGGTTTAGGGTTTGAGGCTTATTGCTTGCAGGCTTTCGGAACTACAGAGGCTTTGGGTTTAGGGTGTCGGGCTCAACTCAAGGACATGTTGAGCTTAAGCTGTGTACATGGGGTGTTTTTGATAAGGTTAAAGGCCCGAATAACTCGACTTGGGATTTGTGGGCTTCATCATCGTATCGGCAAAGTGCACTACGAAACTAAAGTCAAGTGGATGCACAGTCACTTAACCCTATGCAGACACTAGGAGCTATACCATGCCAAAACCCAAACCTTAATCTAGAAGAGGTCAAAACCGAAGCACGCCAGGGGAGTTAATACTTAGACTATAAGGGTTTTGCGGTATACTGTATAATAAACATGTAGTTGAAACAAAGGAACGCTACGGAATCGCATTGGCAATGGTTCAGGCTTCTCTTACATTAGACTCAAGCGGCCGGAGGCATCGAAGGGAGGGCGCATGTCAGTCTTCACAGAGGGCCGAGAAGTAGGCTTCCGCCACGGGATCCATGTCAGGACCTATAAGTCTATAGGCTTATAGTTTAATTAAGGTTTGGGATTTAGGGCTTAGGGTCCACCAGTGATACCCTAAACCCTAAACCCTAAACCCCAAACCCTAAACCCTAAACCCAAAAAGCCAAACCTTAAACCCTAAACCCTAAACCCCCAAAGTGAAGCAAATGCCATGCAGGCGCTCCAGGGGCTGCACCTTTCCACCTTTCCCAAGAGGTCCAAGTGGGTTCAGGGTTTAGGGTTTACGGTTGAAGCCCAAAGACCTACTAAGTACCTAAACCCTAAACCCTAAGTCCTAAAGGGGCCCAAATACCTATTA